CGGGAGAGAGGAGAGGGAAAAAAACGCAGGGGATGGAGGGAGCTGGGAACAGCCGAGGCCTGGGGCGGCCTCCCCGCGGGCAGCCGGCTTCTCACCTGCGGTAGCCGTAGAGGCCGTGGTAGGTGCTGCCGTGCCGCTCCGGCCGCCGCTCCTCGCCCGCGCCGCCGCCCTCCTCGCTGCTCTCCAGCTCCCGCTCATCGCCGTCCGGCAGCGCCGGCAGCATCGCGGACCGAGCCCCGAGCCCGGAGCCCCGAGCCCCAGCCCCGCCTGTGCCCGCAGAGCCGCCCCGGAGCCGCCGGGGCACGGTGGGTGCGCTGAGCCCGCCCCGCGGAGCCCGCCCCGGGCCCGGCGCTGGGAGGAGCGTTCGGGGCCACGGGAGGAGCCGCGGGAGGAGCCGCGGGCCGGGGCCTCACCCCGCCGAGACCCGGCGTTGGGAACGGCTGCGGTGCAGCAGCTCCTGCTTGCGCAGTGCGGGACAGGGCGGTACAGACCCCGCGGGGCCCGTGTCACTACAGGCGATCCTTCACTCGCCTAACGGCAGGACCCGCTCAAATCACGTTTTACAGAATGGTTTGGGTTGAGACACCTTAAGGATGATCTCCTTCTGACACCTTGCTGTGGGGGATTTGGCAGGATTAGCCATGCTGTCTGTTTCTAGAAAGCTCTGCCTCTGAAATACCTCTTCCTCTGTTAAAGCAGCACATTTGTTCGCTCCTGGCTGTCCCAGCAGTTACGGAATCACAGAACCGTTTGGGTTGGATGGGACCTCTGGGCATCACCCAGTCCAGTCCCCTGCCCAGGCAGGGTCACCTGGAGCAGGGGACACAGGAGCGTGTCCAGGTGGGTTTGGAATGTCTCCTGAGTCTCAACGATTCCATGATTCTGTTCTAAGCAGCTGGTGGACTGGCCCAAAACTGGAGAGCCATGAGGATAACACAGACACACCCTGTGATGGGTTTTCAGTGTAACAGAGGGACCAGCCCCTGGCCAGGCACAGGAAGCTGAGGAGGGTGACAACAAACACATTTCAGTTGGTTTTATTGTGTTCTTGGAGGGCTGGGCTCCCCCACACCCCATGGCCTCACTATCAGCAGATGGTAACATGGACACAGCCAGCACGACACTGCTTAGAACAGTCTAAGCAACACCAGCTTCTTGCCCCATCAGATTTCGTACAGAAAACACTGTCTCTCTGTGCCATTAAATATGAAGTTGAGAAAGAGTTTAGATTAAATCTTGGGAGGAAGTTCTTTGCTGTGAGGATGGTGAGGCCCTGGCACAGGTTGCCCAGAAACGCTGTGGCTGCCCCAACCCTGGAAGTGTCCAAGGCCAAGCTGGACAGAGCTCTGACCAACCCGGTCTAATAGAGGGTGTCCCTGCTCACGGCAGGGGGGTGGAACGAGACGCTCGTAAAGGTCCCTCCCAACCCGAACCGTCTCCTGACTCTATAACTGTGACACGTTCCGGTCCCTCAGCACTACAGGCTGGGCACAGAGTGGCTGGAGAGCAGCCAGGCAGAAAGGGACCTGGGGGTGCTGATCGACAGGAGGCTGAACATGAGCCAGCAGTGTGCCCAGGTGGCCAAGCAGGCCAATGGCATCCTGGCCTGCATCAAGAACAGTGTGGCCAGCAGGAGCAGGGCAGTGATCCTTCCCCTGTACTCTGCGTTGGTGAGGCCACACCTTGAGTATTGTGTTCAGCTCTGGGCCCCTCAGTTCAGGAAGGACATTGAGGTGCTGGAGCGGGTCCAGAGAAGAGTAACGAGGCTGGTGAAGGGACTTGAGCACAAGCCCTATGAGGAGAGGCTGAGGGAGCTGGGGTTGTTTAGTCTGGAGAAGAGAAGGCTTAGAGGTGACCTCATCACTCTCTTCAACTACCTGAAGGGAGGTTATAGCCAGGTGGGGGTTGGTCTCTTCTCCCAGGCAACCAACAACAGGACAAGAGGACATGGGCTCAAGCTCTGCCAGGGGAGGTTTAGGTT